CAACAGGAAAAGCTGGTCATGCACTTTAGGTTGCACCGTTAAAATGGCTGCAGGTTCCTGGGCAGGGACTGTTTCTTCCATCTTCATGCAAAGCAGCGTCCTGTTAACTGAACCTATGTGTATTTTGCAGAAAAGACTTTAAAATGAGGCATTAGGTATCATCTTGTGTGCATTCCTTCCTCTCCCCCAAACTGAGAAAAGTAATCTCTGAGGGAAGAATTTAATCAAAGCCAGCTGCTAATTACTTTCCTGACACCAGGGGAGAAGAATGTTAGCATCAGAAAGATCTGGAAAATTTTCATGATTAATATTTGATAAATCTGTAATTGGATCGTTTGATTTTGCAGTCTCCTTTGAATAGAGATAGAAACTTTATTGAAATTAATCTTTATGAATTCAGGCCACAAACTTCAGGGGATGATAACTCATTGATTGATTCGAGTATCTTGAAGTGCTAACCCCGGAGAGAAGATAAATTGGGATTGCCTAAGGACAAGTCAATACAGACTGAATGTAATCCAGAGTGCTTTCCTATTAGAGGAAATAAATTACATTCTGTAAAGAGTTAAAGTTGAATTTCTCTAGCTTTTTTTTTGCTGAAGTTTGGAGATTCGACATGAATATTTAATTTAAAAGCAAATGAGAATTAAGTGTGATAACATTGAATTAATAAAATAGTTGAGTAGCATGCAATAGTGAGCAAATGCTCACGTGAAAAAAATATGAAAATCAAAATTGCAACATTTATAGTTATCTAATATATTATTAGATATTATTATAGTTATCTAACATATATTGTTTAGAATGGGATATAAGAATTTTCTCTTGAACCTAATAAAATAAAGCAGAAATTCTATTAAATGCAATAAGAACATTGTAGGGCTGAATATTATTACTAAGAACAACAAAACCAGTTTCTTGCTCTGATTTTTAGCTATTGAGTTCTGTATTGAAACCTTTAGACCTGGTTTATGCCAATAATCCAGCAGCAAAGCAAATAAAAAATTGTCCAGAAATATCTGGTTTATAACTAAAGTAAATTAAAGGCCATGTGCACATTCACTGAGGGATCTGAATGCCCAGTCTTTTATTTTGAAGGCAAGAGATTAAAGTTCCCTTTCCCTCACCAGCATCGCTGCTTTGAACAGACAGCAAAGAAATGGCAAAAAAATAAGAAAGAAGTCTTAATCCTTGTATTCCAACGTGGCTTGTGTGCGTTTCCCCTCTACAGCAGCAGCAGAGAGCAATACAGCTCTTTTATATTAGCTTTCAAGAAGATTTGGGTTTGGGCACCTCTCCCCTGATATTTTTAATTCAGCATTTAAATAGTTGCATTAGTATGCACAGCACTTTCCACATATGCAAGTAGGGAGGGTTTTGCCTCAAAGAACTCACCATCTAAATTAAATCACCATATTGAAAAAATGACAAAAAAGCTACCTGAAAACAATACCGAGTCTTAAGCTAGCTACAAAGCCTTCTCCCTTCCCCTTTCCATCGCTGCCAAGATTTATGAGAAGGCAAGATGTAGAGGGCAACCGCCTGTGCTAGGCAAACAAAAAAAAGGCTGAACTTGAAGACAAAGATGACGAGGTTGTTCAGCACAGTGCCTGTGGAAGGCTAATCTGGACTCAGCATTAGAAAACTGGTAAAGATAGCTTTGTTAGAAAAGCTAGAAAGACATAACATATGAGACGTCACGGATTTGGTGGATATGGCATGATGGCGAAAGTGTTTGAAGTAGATGAGGAAAAAGGCAAATACAAAGCTGAAAAAGAATGATCCTTCCTACAAATACACTTCAGGCCGGGGGGGGACAAACGTGTCATGTTCCAGGTGACATTAAAAAAAAGGACGGCAATTTAAACCCAGGTTACGGAGCTGCGAAGATGTAAAGGTTTTTGAGATATAAAAGGAAAACCAGTACAATTCTGCAATGAAAGAAGGAACACATGCAGGAACTCTACACATGCACAGGGACGTGGCTTTGGAATCCGCTGAGCCTCAATGACTGGACAGGCGTACTCTTCGCTGGGTAAAAAACTGGCTGGATGGTTGGACCCAAAGGGTGGTGGCGAATGGAGGTAAATCCAGTTGGCGGCCGGTCACAAGCGGTGTCCCCCAGGGCTCAGTTTTGGGCCCAGTTCTGTTTAGCACCTTTATCAACCACCTGGATGAGGGGATCAAGGGCACCCCCAGTCACTTTGCAGATGACACCGAATTGGGTGGGAGTGTTGATCTGCTGGAGGGGAGAAGGGCTCTGCAGAGGGACCTGGCCAGGCTGGATCCATGGGCCCAGCCCAACTGGGTGAGGTTCAACAAGGCCAAGGGCCGGGTCCTGCCCTGGGGTCACAACAACCCCACGCAACGCTCCAGGCGTGGGGCAGAGGGGCTGGAAAGCTGCCCGGCGGAAAAGGAGCTGGGGGTGTTGGTCGCCAGGCGGCTGAATATGAGCCAGCAGGGTGCCCAGGTGAATATGTCCCTTAACTGCTGGTTTGTTGAGCCCACGTTTCCAAGCCTTCAGTAAAATCTGTAAGCTCTGCATATTTGGTAACCACAGCTTCCTTAGTGTTTTTCCTGTATAAGGGTTATTTGGCTCCGCTTACTTACATGATGTATTATCAGAATCAGACCCCTCCATCTGTGTGAGGAGCAAGTGGCCTCGGGTCAGTTGTCTGCATTGAGGATGTGGCCCGGCAGTTGGGTCTGGTCCTTCCCTCTGCAAACCTTGTGCCATTACCACCCTTCCCACTCTACCGCTTACAGCTGTACAGGAGCTGGGCTATTTCAGTTGGCTGCTCTATCATCTCCTTCACTCTGCTTGGAGCAAGAGTTGACAGCACTTCCTTTTTGCTTTCTGAGCTGCATGGGTGACAGTGGTGGCAAGGTGTCCATGGTAAATGTTTGGCGTGGAAAATACCTAAAGCAAACACAGCCCAGAGACACGAGGGTGGCCTGTGGCAAGCTGGAGTCCTGCTGCTGATTCTTTCCTCCTGACTTGATAAATGGCAGATTTTATTCTCTAGAATGACATATCTAGTACTATTTTTTTTTTAAATGCAAGCAAAATAACCTGTGCCTCAGTCCTGTAGCACTATTATAGCCTCAAGTTGTGCCAGGGCAAGTTTAAGTTGGACATTGGGAACAATTCCTTCCCCAAAAGGGCTGTCAGGCACTGGAAGGGGCTGCCCAGGGAAGGGGTCGAGTCCCCTCCCCTGGGGGGGATTTAAAAACTGGGCAGAGGCGGTGCTGAGGGCCAGGGTTTAGTGGTGGACAGGTACAGTTGGGCTTGATGATCTTAAAGGTCTTTTCCAACCAAAAGACTCTATGATTATATATTCAACACACATTCTGTGGGTAGCGATCCATCTATTCAGCAGAACCCCCACAGTCAGTAGGGCTCAATACCAAACACAAACTACCTTTGTGTTGCCAGGTTTTCTTGCAGCCACAAAGACTCGCTGACAAACACAGCTTGGAGCACCTTCACCCGCAGACGCTGAGTAGTGTGGAGTAAAACCATGATGCCTTCTCTTTGCCATGGAGCACTGGAGACTCCTGGGCAGGGCTTCCAGCCGCCTGGTACCACCGAGCTGCTCCGCCGCCAGGCAAAGGAGAACACTTCCAACGCGTACATAGGCTTTTGCAATCGTAACTTCTGCAGTTAATTAATTTTATGTAGCAGCAAGTATGTAAATTAATAGGTTATTTTAGAGCTCAGCCCGTGGAATTACCTCAGCACAAATCTAGTTCATAATGGAAAAGTTTATTTGAAAGAAAAGTTGGCTTTTGCAAGCAAACCTCACCCCAAATCCCAAAATGTATGACCAAGGAGAAAAGGCAGCTCAGCAAAACAAAGCAAGGGGGGGGAAAAGGCTTTAGGTCCGTTGAGTAAGGGGCTTATTTTGTAAAAGAGTTATTTGAGGAAACCACGTTCCCGCCCCGGGAGGCCCAGTTTTGTCAGCAGCAGTGGCAGTTACGCTCCCCGTCCTCACCGACCTGCCAGCAAACCCCGGGCCCTACCGGCCTCCCGCTGGCTGAGGAGCCCCCCTCTATTTTCTCCACTGACAACACCCCCTCTTTTATTCATTTTCATCTTCATTGTACTCCCCGGCCTCAGGCAGCCCCCGCCGGGGGGGGGCGGT